AAGCGACCATCAACGAACATGGTCCACAAGTTCGGGAAAGCCATGCCAGCAGAGGCCCATGAAGTGGGAATCAAGCCCAGCGCCCTCGGCGCCGATCCCAACGGGAAGGTCGGACGTTTGCCGGGGCACCGGCTTTGAGCTTGGCTCCTTGCTTTCATGCTTCGGGTTGCAGGGCTGCGGGGTTCAGCCCCTTCGACCTTGAGAGAATGCCGGTTCATCATAGTGAAACACGCCCCCTCATTTCGTGATTCCGGTTCATCGTATATCTTACACACCACCCCGCCCATTAGGCGATTGCTGTTCGTCATATATACCTCAAACAGCCCCTCCAACTGGGCGAGTCCGGTTCATCATATATCTGAAGCACGCTCCCTCATTGGGTGGTTCCGGTTCATCAAATATCTTAAACACGCGTACTCATTTGGCGATATCTGATAAACGCGCCCCCTCATTTTATTTGGTGATTCCCATTCTCTTGGGCGATGCCGGTTCATCATATGTCTTAAACAGCGGAAGCTCATTTCCCGATTCCGGTTCATTGGATCAGTATCAATTAAAAACGCCGCGTCTTTTGGCAATTAAGGGTTCTTCTTGAATCTTAAAGATGCAACAAATTGGGCGTTTCCGATTCATCACATATCTTACACAAGCCCCCTCATTTGGCGACTCCGGTTCATAATGAATCATATGTCTTAAACCCCCCCCCCTCATTGGATATTCGGTTCATCAAATATCTCACATCCATTAAACATTCCCCCTCGTTTCGCGGTTCCGGTTCTTCATATATCTTAAACACCACCCCGCCCATTGGGCGCTTGCGGCTCGTCATATATCTTGAACACCCCCAAATTGGGCGAGTCCGGTTCACGATATTGCCACGACTGCAGTCGTGCTTTTGGAGGCCACTTTGCATTGGACGCGAAGTAGCATCGCCAAAGACTTGGCAGCGTGCCGTGTGTGTAGGATCGGGGTGTGGCGGGGTTTGCTGCCCTCTTGTCGCCCAGGGACTCGGGTTTGGGGGTGTCGGTCCGTGAAACCGGGCGAAGTAGGGCAGTGGGCACGTTGCAAGCGGTTGCTCGAAGCCGGCGCATGCGGCCAGGCTCCCGGTTTGGAGCACCTGAAACCGGGCCGAGGCACTAGCGAGGGGACGTTTCTAGAGAGGGCAGTGGGCATGTTGTAAGGGGTTGCGCAGAAGCCGGCGTATGCCGCCAGGCCGTGAGCCGGTTGGGCTTGTCCGTGAGCCAAGTCGGCCGGCATCCGATTCCCACCCCCCCCACAGAGCTGATTCGGGAGATCTCGTTCGCAACTCCCCGGATCCTATTCAGAGGATCCTGTTCGTGCAAATGCCTAAGGCGAATGACGAGTCAAGATATCTCCCGACATCATTCGACATCATCCTTTACCTCCCAACTCGCACCTGTCCCAGTCGCCACCTGGCACAGGCCAACGAGCTCGTACGTTTGCGTCTTCCAGGCCTGCCTGTTTACCTTGTGCAACCACCCTTCTTGCACCGAGCTGCTCCTGTAATACAGTGGCCTAGAAAATTGCCAATACTATTTTAGGGGGTTCCTTGTTTCGATTACAGTATAATGGCCAAAACCCTACAGCAATTCCGTTGAAGCCCTCAAGGTGGTCAGCTCATCCCAGTTGAGGAGGCAGTTGCGTTGCTGATCAAGGCGCCCTGGGAAGGTGTGCATGTGCACGAACAATCCATCTGATGTACTATCAGTATTCATCGTGGCAAACAGAAAGTTGCTCTGCTTTTTCTGGGTGACCATGTTCTTTCGCAAGTCCATCCAAAAGCTGAAGCTTGGCATACTGTGAACAGAATTGAATAGAACAACCGTAGCAGAATCACGCCATAATCGGGGACCCGCGTGCATACCTGTTTTGTATCGGCAGGATATCACATCCACACCGGCAAAGTCACTTAAGAGCTGCTGTGTGTGTGAACTGACGAAATCGACGGCGCATTGCAATGCAGCAGTTATGTGCAGTGGCACAGTGAGTGAGTTCCAATGCAGGATCCGTCCTTCGAGATGATGTGAGTATGGTGGAATACGGCGGTGCTATGTCTATGTGGGAGTTTCCAAAAATAGAGGACCCGGCCCTAGTATAGTACTCTAACTAATGTCGGCGTGTATCATAAGTATACCAGGTGGCACCCGTGGCGACTTGCTTTTTCCCCGTCTGTTTCTATTGAAGTACCTCTTCCTAAACATTTTTGCGTCTCTTGAATTACAACCAGCGTTTTAAGCATTCAGTTTTTGCCGGCGACATCATGAGACCGACACACATGACCCCCTAAAACCGAAAACCGAAACCCTAAACTCAATGAATGAGGCCCTTGTGTCCGTGGCGGAGCTCTACCTCAAGCAGCCCGTGAAGCGGGCCGTTCTAGGCACGGCATCTTTCAACGATGCAGATTTAGCGCAGCATGTTGAGGGGCGCAAAGGGTGTGCGAAGACTTCCTCCAGCATGATTTCTACGCTTAGACTTGTGCATCTTCGTCAGCATGTTGCTTGTTCTTTCAGGCGTTCCAGCGCGGTGGACCAAGAATCAGCGAATGGCGCTCGAGTATGCAGCCAAGCTTGCAGGCCAGCACACTTCCAGACACCCGCCAAATCTGACGTCACAAGGCTCAAACCCGACCCTATACCCTAAACTCTAAACAACCGGAACCTAAGCCTGAACCCCGTCCCCCCAAGGTCAGTCTCAAACCCTCGCATCCTTCGCACTGAACTACGTACGGCCGGAACATACCAAGACGTTTCGTTCCGCATTGGGGTCCTTAGGTAACTTAATACTTTGGGGTTTAGGGTGTCGGGGCTTTACTGGGTAAGCGTTTAGGGCTTCAGCTCCTTAGATCTGTACAAACCTAGGGATTCGAGGTTGACAGGTTCAGGCCTTCAGGATATCCGTGCCCCTAAACCTTGAATACTTAAGCCAAAAGACCCCAAACTACACATATACCCATTGCCATGTAGATATATACATATGTTTATATACACACATACACACAACATAAATGTATATAATACATATACTCTATATATATATATACATATATATATATATATATGTATGACGAAGCCTTGAGGCCTCGAATCTGTCCGGCTCATCCCCGAGCCCGAGTTGGCCGTGCGGGCCTATGGCGTCCGTTCCAGTCCAAACGCGCAGATCATCACAGGAAGCTGGGGAATGTAGGAGGATTTCGGTCCTAGGACTTAGCAAGTCAGGTTATAAGTACCTTGATCGGGGTTATAGTTACTAAGTCCCATGATCCTCCAAGTAGGGTTTAGAGTTTAGGTCTTCAGGTAGGGTAGAATTTGGGAGATTGGAGTTTCGCCTCCGAGTATCTTGTGAAAAACATTCGTAATATAGAGATATAAGGACCTTAATAGTATTAGTAGCCCTATTATAGACTGTTACTGTATGGGGGCCGTAATATAAGCTGCGAAGGTCCGAAGATGTAAGAGCACCCAAGCGGGTCGCTGACACCATATTTACTGGAAAAATGTAGCATATCCGTATTGCTAGTCGGCAACGGACGAGTATCAATTCTCAAACTATTGCTAGCATAGTAGTCGTCACATGCAACGAACATGTGACAGTGTATATGTCTAAACTCAGAGTTGAAAAGCAATGCACTGACAATATTGCAACAATGGTGCTGGCAAAAGGTTCTGCTTGACAAACTACCGATTCTGATAGCCGCCACAGGTTCGCGACACCAGGTATAAATAACGGATCTTCCGAAGTGTGAGCGATTGAACATCCCCCATCGACCAAAAGACCAGAGTTGTTTTGCCATCCGCCGGTTGTGACGAACACAGTCAAAGACCAGACCTTACCCACATCCTGTGAAGTATGCTGATCCCTGAGCTTTGCCCGCAGGAGGTGGCAACTTGGGCGCAAAGCCCATGGGTCTTGGGGGCAATGTGGAGCTGGACGAGCTCCAACAGCGACGCTTTGGCCTTCGTATTGGGTTTACAACGATGTTCCACTACCTCGGAACGTATTTGCACAAGTGTTCGTCGTAAGATTGGATGCGAAATCATTGTCGCCGTTCTTTGGATGCAGCTTCTGGCGCAGCCCTGTCATCTGTCCTGTCCTAGTCACTAGTCGAATGGATGTGTTTCCAGCGCAAGGTCGGCAGGTCTGGGGGCTTCTATTTCTTCGCTTCGAGTATGAAGATGCTTGTGCCTATGTCCTGCCCATCTTAGCATGACAGACAGGTACGAACCCAAACGGGCAATTTGTTTTCTGGCTTAAGACAATGTAAACTGCTGCACCAGCGACATGGTCGCAGCTTCCAGACTTGCTAGAACTGATGGCTACGTCCGGCCAGAAGTTGCTATTGCAACCGCAACCGCCATGATGTTGGCCAAACTCTAATCTCAAGCGGCCCAAAACCTCCACCTGGACACACGTGAGGAATTGAGGAGGATCCTTATGCTGCATCTCAAGACGATTTGAAGCAGCAAATGGCAGCTTGGCTTCAGAACCAGGGCTTTTGCACGCATGATGTTCCTGAGTCGTGAGGATTCGTCTCTTGGCTCTCCTCAGACTGGAAGTCCTTCCAGTCTGGATACGTCTCGCATGCGAACATGTTTCCGAATAGCTCAAGAACTGTTGTGGTGACAACACCCATTCTCCAAAAAAGAAAGACGGCCAAAGCTCAAAAACAATAGAAGCCACAGCAGCAACAACAACAACAGCTGTTGATTGATTTTTCCTTTTGTGGTGAGGACTACTGCTCGTCGGCTGTTGCTCCCTCCACTGTACCGTACTGTGCTTACTGTACCACTCTATACCGCAGTGTACTGTACTGTGCACTGCACTACACTGTTTTGCAGCACTGTACTGGGCTGGACTGTACTGGACTGTACGACGACTACCGTTGCTACTACTGCAACTGCCACTGCGAGTGCTACTGCTTCAGGATCGTACCCATTCGCAATTGCGCATATCAAAATATACCAGCTGAGGTGAATGAGATGAAGCAACAGGATCCGACCTTGAAGCACATTCTCGTTGCCGACCTTGGTGGGGGAACCTTCGATGTCTGCATTGTTCGGAGATGGGTGGAGTGGGACGAGATTCACATGCTTCTCGACTTGACCATCCCGACTGCTGAGCTTTTGCAGTTTAGTGCGCTGCAGCAATGCAAACCCTCTTTCTCAAGGGCCTACTGAGGCCCTACCGTGCTAAAGTCTGCTAAACCTTCTTGCCAAGTGGCCATCTCTTGAAACTCCAGAGATTCAATTCGGAATCAGGCTGTTCACGAGCGGGGACGAGCGCTTGGGCGGTGACGACTTCGACCGTGCCATTGTGGAATCTTCGCCTTCAGCTCAAGCAACAAATGTTGATACAGATGTTCCCTTGCAGTCCGTACTGTATAGTTGGGGTCCCCGTCTGAGTATCCGTTTCTGGAGTCATGCCCTGCTTGCAGGCACATGGCAAACGCATGTGAGCGTGTCACACACTTGATTAGACGTGGCCGTAGGTCCTGTCACCACACCGTAATGCCAAAACCTTGACTGCCTGTGAGGATTGGGTACTCAAAGAGCTCAAGCCAGAGCTGGCCAAGCGACGGCTGCTAAGCTTTCATAGCGTCATAACAGGATGTCCAGAAACACCAGTCAGCTGAACCGCTTGCCCAAAGGCGAATGATCCTTGAGCAAACTAGAAGCCGCCTCCTGATGCCTCGTGACTTGTCAAATCTCGCCGAGGAGGTGGCCAGTGCCGGCTGGAGCTCGCCAGCAGCTGCTGTTGCAAGCGCGAAAGGCCCGGGCTCTTCGTGCTAGTTGGTCCTGGCACTCTTCCGACCAAGCTTTGCAATGGGCTTCAGAGGGCCGCAGGGTGAAGGGACATTCAAAGGGTCTCCAAACTCACCGCAGGCCAAGGAGAGACTCTCCAGCAGCGACACTGCCGACATCGTGCTTGACGAGCTGAAGGCCTTGGGGAATGCCCCACAATGTCTTTTGGCATAGGCGCTTTGAGGTTTATGCTCAATGTTCCCCTTGACGATGGACGAGTTGTATGGTAAAAGTGAGCGAAACCCTAAACTCTAGAAAATTAACAAGCCCTGAACTTAAACTCTTAACCCTCACTCTCCGGAAGGTGACGGTCACCAGGGACAGCTTCAGAGTTGTTTGCCTCCACGTACTGCAGCGAATGTTGCGACCGATCAGGGAGGCCGCCTACGGGGCGAGTCTGCGCCTTTCGGACTACACGGAGATCGGGGTTCGGATTTAGGGCTTAGGGTTTGGGTTTAGGGTTGAGGAGCTCGGGGCTTAGCATTGGGAGTTTCCGAAAACTTGGGGTACCTTATTTTGGTGTCCTTATAAAAAGAATCCTACTATTTAGGGTACTATACTATAGCCCCTATTTTCGGAAGCTCCCATTTGATTTTAGAGGCCGATGGGCGATCCAGAAGAGCAATTCTGCACGATGCTTCGCATGGTACCAGTACTACGAGAGCATGCGACCAGAGCTGAAGTTACACGTAAGGATGAAAGTATACGCCGAAGCGAGCGGCTGCCCAGACAACCCGTAATTGCGTAATCCACGAGTAGGTTGATGGCGCCGAACATTTTCTGGTTGCTGCGTCCCATGTGCACATGAAACAGGGCACATCGATGTTCCTCGCTGTATTGACGGAAAGTCTCGTTTGAGTGAGTGCCTCATTTTCCTCGACTCTGACTTGTCACTGCATCAGAGCAGAGAGTTCCCCACGAGTCGGCTTTAACTTGAGTTGGGGAATGTGTCGGTATTATTGGGGGTGGCAGTGAAGATAGTGAGGATGTTGTGATGCTTCTTGGCGGGGTCGAGGACTGCCATTCGAAAGCCTGGCGATTGAGACCGTGGACACTGCCCGCAAGGCGAAGAAGAGGCACGTACATCAAATGAGCTAGTTTAGTTCTGGGATGTCAGCACGTTCATGGTTTTTTCAGCCTGTGCACCGTCAGGAAGATGAGCGAACAGGACTGACGGAGATGAGATCGGCTTACAGCAAGAGAGTTAATGGTGACCAGCTGGTTCCTGCAGCATTTGTTTTCCGTGGAGGACCTCCAAAAAAAGACACAGTCACTGCGAGCCAAGCACAAGAAGACCGATGTGGAGGAGACGCAGACGTAATGGGGTTGACATGAGTGCTACCTGCTTTGAAAGAGTTGCTTCCACAGTAGTAGTTTCTGACAAGTCGCAGCTCTTGAGGGGCCAGTGCAAGGGCACAGCAAAACTGACCTCCTCTACTCGATCTGTAGAGGATCGCGAGGAGATCATGGTGGACGAAATCCTGCTCATCGGTGCAGCAACCTGGACTGCTGCGCGGTTGTAAGATCCCGGCCCTGTGTCGTTGGCATGACGGTTACGATCACTTCACTAACGTCTCTCTCTTAAAGTGCGCCGAGCCCCACAATTCTGAATATGGAATCGTTATCGAAGTGATGCTGTAGCTCTGCCCACTATCGCCATTTGACGACACTGACAGTACTTTGCAGCTAATCAGCTAATCTAGTACAGTTAGTACAGTCCATTGGTATAGTGTTTATGGTTCGTTAGAACAGTACCACCAGCGGCAAAAGCTAAAGCAACACCGAAAACAGAGACAACAACTCTCAGAACACCAACAATACTAGGAAGGGTTATCATCAAGCTAGATACCATAGCAATAGGCGCAACAACTGTGGCATATATTGGTTTGACATTAGTATTCGCACAGACAATATTTGTATTCGTATGGCTCTTCTCATCATTATCCTCAGTCTTCTTAGATTACTTCTATCATGAGTATTCTCATAGTAACACTATGAATATCGTTATGCTGCTGCTGCTGCTGCTGCTGCTGCTGCTGCTGCTGCTGCTGCTGCTGCTGCTGCTGCTGCCGCACTGCCGCTGCTACACATGACTGCAGGACGCCAGCTGTGCGAGAGATGCTGACGCTGTGCACCGGGGTGCAACCAAGCAGCGCCGTTATCGATCCGGAGACGGCTGGGGGCCTTAAGTTTTCGGGTTTAGGGTTTATAAAAGGGCTTGGTTTAGGTGCACGGGAGTTTTGATGAGGGCACTCGGAGAATGGAGATCAACTTTTCGGGTCATCTGGCTATACATGGCGTCCGACGCGGCCTCCCACAAATTCATACAACCTTCTAGTGCTTTGCCAGGGTGCCTGAGGCCACTTTGACAAGGGTGGAAACTCTCGCCAAAGCTCATCCCGTTTCGGAGTGCCGGAGTCGTATGGTCCTGGCAGGCTGTGGCGCTTGGTGCTGTGATCCTCGCATCCATCATGGACAACCAGATGGTTGACATGCAGGTCGACCAGGGCGAAAGACACATCGTCGAGGTTGAGTTTGAAGCATCTTATGAGGTTCAGGTGAGGGTGCAAGTGTTTGGAAGAACTTAGCGCCAACCCATGACTGAGGCCCGGACCCAGAGGAGATCTTAGCTTTCATTCCAGAATCGCACATGGTAGGTTAACTGCAGAAGCCTGAAGGCAGATTCGAGTCGCTATCGTACGACGCAGTTATGCATGCCGACATGCCATACCCGAAGGGTCCATGTACGTAAATAGTATACAATTACTTTGGGGTCAATGTACCTGTATAGGGAGTACATTTGGGTACATTGACCCTTGCTTAAAGGATCATGGGACTTAGTAACTAGGGTTATAATTGGGGTATCTATACTTATAACTACGTATATCCCCAGTCATGGTACTTATAAACTCCCATGGTCCTCCAAGTAGGGATACGGAACCTCGAATGGATGAGTCCCGATATCAGGTACACTCCAACTGGCGCGCAGCCTGGACCCAGTACTTGCTCGATAGACCAGAGCTGGTCGAGAAGCTGCAGGTCTGGTTGCGCACTTCAGTGAAGTAAAGGAAGTACCCATAGGCCCCATAGTAGTTCCTTTTTGGGATTACCTTATAGGCTTCCCAAAATGAACCTCAAAAAGGAACTACTATGGGGCCTATGGGTAAAGCACAGAGAAGGGATACGAAGGTTTTGCGAGAGAAGGGCCATCGCAGGAGGCAGTTGTCTGTGCAACCGAACACCTCGACGCAAAATACAAAGTGAAAGCAATCCGTTCGAATATGATCATGAGGGGCCTGAGTAATTCCCTTTTGACATTCCTTAACTTTCATGCATATGTACTTGTGCCGCAATATGCCTCAAGCCCGCATTGTAGACTGACTAGTACGGCCTCCATATGATCGAACCGCAGCGAAACCGACGATAAATACAAAAACTGTTCTGAGCCTTTTCTAATTCCCATATTTTGACGACCTTCGCTTCGAATCCCCGTCAAGGCCGAGAAGCAGCAGAAGACGGTGTTGGCCGGTGACGTCTCCTAGCGAACAAAACCACCGTTTCTTGGAGTCCTCGGTGCTTGCAAGGCTTTGGCTTTCAGACTTCCAGGGCTCGGGAGTTTCCGAAAATTGGGGGTACCATATTTTGGGGTCCTTACAATAAGGATCTTTAGGGTACCATATTAGAGGGGTTCAGGGTTTAGCTTTGGTTCCGATAGGCTCAAACTCAAGACTTGGCCGCTGTGGCGAGGTGGGCTGTGCTTGTGACTCCTTCGGTGCTTCGCTGATAGCAACGGCAGAATTTTGAGCACGCACTTACGTACTTGCTTGTAGGCATGTACATGCCTGTACGTATTTATGGACGGATGGATGGATGGATAGCTACGGGATGCTACAGGCATGCATGCTTGCGTGTCGGCGTAATACGTTGTGCGGCTGTCTCCTACAGCCATAGAGAAGACCGCCTCAAGTCTCACATCCAGCAGCATTTTTATGCTCAAACATGCTGGGACATTGGCAAGCCAGGTACTTCGCAATTTTGCAGATGTTTTGCAAGTCACGGGCCGTCCTACTTACGCAACGTCGTCACTCACTAGCCAGCTTTGTGGTTCAGGGACGGTGCCCGAGGGCCAGGAGCAGCCAAGAGCCAAGTTGCGGCCATGGCGGTCTCAGGCCGAGCAGGTCCGAAGGGGAACGAAGGGGCAGAAGGGAAAGAAGCAAAGGACGAAGGAGGTTTCACACGTAAATAAAGTGAAGTCCAGAATGTGCAGCCACGCCGTCAAGGCAACTGATCTGGGCTTAGGTGCAGATGACATTGGCAGCAGAGCCCGCTCGAGACCCGACCCTGATAACTGAACCGCTGCCCACCATGTGCAAGGCAGCGTCAGCCAGCACCTGGTAGCAGCCTCAGCCAACAAAAAGGGATGCCGGTCTTGGGCCTTGGGCCTTGGGTGTTAGGGAGGAGGCTGTGCTAGCATCAGATCCGCAACAGAACCCACATGAGGTCGCGAACGCCCAGTTTTCTGCGTGTCACCGCTAAGGCCTGCTTGGTCCTGCTGGCATTCTCTTCCCTTGCTCCGGCACAGGCTGGGCCGGGAAATGTGATACCTCGCAGCAGGGATTCGCATGTAACATAGGCACAGGCATTCCCAAATTCGTCTTTACATCGAGGGTTATCCACATCGAACTGCTCCGATGACTGGAAACCAGGATCTGTCCTCGGTTTGCGATCACGAGGACTACCCGAATGTCTCTCGTCTGATCTGGGAGCCGGCAGGACTCTGATTTCTGCTGGAAATGTCATAGCACTGGCAAGTGGCATACTGCCCAGAATTGTAACGTTCCAGTCCAACACCATCACCAATAACAACAACGACAAAAGCAGCAGCAGCAACAACAACAACAACAACAACAAGGACAGCAACAGCAACAACAGCAACTACAATATACCAAAACATACCAACTATGCCCTGCTTTACTGTACTAAACTTTACTATCCTATCTTTGCCTGCGTTTGATTGAAGCTCCAACTCAGGTCGGGGACAGACTGGAGATTCGAGACGGCGAGACGGTCTATAGAGACATCCGGCCCAACAATACCCACTTGCCTGCTCCTTACGGAGTAAAGTGGAGCTTCTAAGCTTCAGGGTTTAGGGTTTAGGTTACGATCCGGACTCCGAAGCATGCTTTCGACCGATGATCTCGCTTTGTGCAGAGGTGGTTCTACAAGAACGAGGATGTGATTACCATGCACCGAGCTCAGCTTCACTACTTAAAGGATCATGGGACTCAGTAACTAGCGTTATGGTTAGGGTAACTATACTTATAACCCCAATTAAGGTACTCACAACCTTACTTACTAAGTCCCATGATCATCCAAGTAGAGCCATCTCAGCAACAGCGACCTATATCCCAAGAAGCCAAGGAACCAACCGGACCAGTACCGCAAGGTGCGCTGCGCTGGGCACATCCGGTTTTGGTTGAGGAGTGGTTTAGGATTTAGGGTTTGGGGTGCAGGCTTGAAGCTCTTGGGCTGCAGGGGCGAAAAGGTGTAAAGAGGTTGGGATCCACATATCCGACCTAGGGTGGCTTATGTAAGGTAAGCCCAGCATTGACATTTGCGGCAAGTTGTAGATTCAATAAGAGACGTTTAATCCTTCACCAAGCCAATATAAGTCGGCAAAAAGCATGCTTTCTGTCCCAAACACTTCAGCCAGCCACGCTGCGAAGTTTCCTATCGCGTACATGTAAGGCAAAAGACGCTTCCAAGGGCTCAGACCCTGTGCCCGCGAACGTATGCTGAAGCAGTTGAGCGGTTGCATGGCAGGTGATCATCAACCTTGAGCCGTGCCGTGGGGTGGTGTATCTTTTCGCCCGGAGCTGTGTTGATGTACTTGTTCGGTTCACTAGCTATGCATCTAGACGAGTTTGCTCGCTTTGCTGACATGACTTGATTCCTCAAGCAGACAAAAGCCGTGTAGGCTTGCATGAGGCAGACACGGCCAGGCACAGGCCACTTAGCACCATTCTTGCGACCGAGGTCCGCAAGACACGGAGATGTTATCCTAACCCCTACAGCGGCAACCTTGGACATTCGGTTCTGTTTGTCTGTCTGTGCACGAGCCTCTCAGGGATTCAAGCTCTAGGCTCGTAGGACTCACGAGCTAGGCAACGAGAGGCTGAAGCCTGTGGAGATTAACAAGTATCAAAAGACCTATTCTAGTATTGACTCTGTGAGGGCTGTCATCCCACCGATAGCAAGGATGAGGATAATGCCCAATGTAGCGAGACTGTAAATGTCATGGTGATAATGATGATGATGATGATGATGATGATGAGCCTGATGAGTTTGGTATCATTGATGGTTGTTTTCATGACGACAACAATATGACAACAATGATGAGTTTGTGGCGTTAGCCTGGATTCGATGGTGCTGACGATGATGTTGGTTCAAAACAACAAGCAGGATGATGAGCTGCTAACAAAAAGGAGATGACAAAGGCGGTGACGACGAACACAGCGAAGCCTGGCAGCACAGGTAGCAGCGACCAAGACAAAGTCACCGCCGCCGCACCACCACGACCTCCCACGACCCCAGTGATAACGGCAATGATGACCAGGACAGCGAAGTCGTAATCAAAAGCGCCAACCTACAGAGGATGACAAAGTCCCCAGCAGCAAAGTGAACATGAAGAACAATGAGAATCAGAGCTATAGGGCTACCCATAGCCAAACTAGCAGCAGCATAGATAGCTTTCGTAAGATCAAAGCAAGCCTTCGACATGCAAAGCAGCCCTTAGTCCTAGAGCACACTATAGTATGTTAGAGTATAGTATAGCGTAGCATCGTACAGCATTTCAGGGTATAGTATACAGTAACGATTATTATCGATTTCTGGTGGTTCGACTCATCTTTGGCTTTTCCTTGGCCGAGGTTGCATCGATACAAGGCCCGGATTCGAGAGGAGGGATGTCGGAGGACTCAGACTCACTGGGGTTGGGGCTTGAGGATTTAGGGTTTGGGGTCTGGGGGTTGCTTTTCGGATTTGGTTTAGGGCTGTTGGGTTGCGAGATCTCGAGGGTGTAGGCTGAGGGCTCTTGGGCTTGGAGACTTCGGCAGTTTGGATGCAGTCGTTGTCGTTTGGGCATGGGGTTCAACAGTAAGGAGTTTCTGAGTCCTGTACCGGAGACTACTTCGCGAATTTTCGTGGCACCTGGACCCCCTGCCGAGGACTATTGTGTTATCGTGCTTTCAGCCCCGGGTGTCAACTCTCCCGCACTCGATTGTGCGGGTCCCATTGGGAAAAGCGAGTTGAATGAAGCTCGCTTTGCCGGCTTACAACCCTGCAAACTTGCAAGATCAGATAAGTTCAGTGAGGACAGGAGCCACGATTACTCTTCAAGATTACACTAACTGCAGTCTATGGGTAGTTCCCTCAATCAAGGTCACGTGTAGGTTTCCAAACAGTACAACACACTAACTCACTAACTTTCTTTGTTGGATATCCTGGCCATCTTCTTCGAGGTGAAAAGGTCTTTGCAAGGAGCCTTGTTCATCTCCCGGCCTTCCACTACTTGCATGTGGCATTCTTCTGCTCTGTCGCCTTCCCCTCTCTTATTTAGGGGTTAGGGTTTAGGTTTAGGGTTTAGGGTTTTTTGGTTTAGGCATCATGTCCATGACAGAGGCAAAGAACAGCGCAGCACCCACAAGCAGAGTTTGTTGTAAAGGCTAAATGTCAGGTTTCTATACGTGTAGGTTTGTAGATGGTGCTTCGATTTGGGCGGGAAGCATGCACAAGGCGCAACCTACGGGACTTCGTAATTCAATGGCCACAACACTGTTTTGGGGTTCTTCTTATGAATATAGTACAACATCCAGCCAAAACCAAAACCACCTTGTTGGAATTACTCAGGTCCCTGTATTACATTCCCTTGCCAAGGCCGCCCTGTGCAAATGGACACACTTCTTGCTTGGAGCCAAGTTGTCGCCCTGAGCAGCGGGCCCTGCACCGAGACACAAAATGACACCAACGCTCAGCAGTACTCGCCCTTACACGACAACAGCCAAAATCACGACACTAGCCATAATAATTACGAGCTGCTGAATTATTGTCGCATACCATAACATGCTCTGGTAATATCGTATGTATAATGATTATTAGTTAGTGACTATACTAAGATTGTCCGCTGTGTGTGAGAGTCAGATGGGCAGTTGTCAAAATTGTGGTCCTTGTTTGGGAACCCTAAATAACAGGTGCCGTACTATATTAGGGACCCAAAAAGGGACCATAGTTTTGACAACCACCCAGATGAATCACTCAAGCCGTCTCGAACTCCTTGGAGGCCCACAGCACATGTAGTCCCCAAGGCCCTATACCCATGCAGCCCTAAGTGCTTAACCCTAAATCCTGCACCCTGAATCCTCAAGGTCCTAAACCCCCCAAACCTAGACCCTACAAAACATGTCCTAAACCCTAAACTCTGGCATCTGAGGTCTGAAATTGATGGAAGCCGGGACGGATCTCCAACCTTTTTTGAAGTGCCGCTGTCTTCCACAAAGCCACCCGGACACGGTTTTAATATGGAGTGAATGTATGAATATACATGCGCATATATATATATATATATGTGAGAGAGAGAGAGTCTACAGAGCCTGTTTGTAATGGTTTTGTTTGCGTTGGGTAGGAAGGAAAGGGCCAAATAGACCCTAAAGGTCTCGGCCACATATTTCTATATGTATATAGATTTGTATATAGATATGTGTATATATATATATATATATATATTCTGTTTGATCTAGAATGTTTAACGGTGCGACTGAAGGTGACATAAGACGCTTGCACTAGCACCGGATGCGAAATCACCTTATGCTTCTCATCTTGCCCGGATGAGCCATTTTGGCTAAGGCTCAGCATGGAAGTGCACCGCCCGTCGGCTCTAGAGGCTTTCCAGCTTTCGGTGACAAAGTTCGAGGCATCCTCCCCGACGCCATGTACTTCGAGACCTCGAGGGCACTTGTATCCACTCCGAAGGCTTCGAAGCACGAGGAGTGGGTACGCGTTTCTATGCTTTCGGGAGAAATACTGGTACGAGCTGAGGATGTCAGCAACGTGAGAGAGCTCAAGCAGCAGTTGCATCAGAAGGGGTGTCCATCCAGATTCCAGCAGAGGATGATGCTCGCGCATGATCCCAAAGGGGCCGTTCTGGACGATGCTAGCACAGTGCATCCAGGAATGTGCATTCAGATGTATGTTGTACCCTTCATCGACTTGTCCGCGGAGCAGCAACGACAAGCATCAAAAATACTCTTCAAAGCTGCAGAGGGTGGCAAAGTTTCTCGACTTGAGAGATTGCTGCAACAACCGGTGCACCCGAATGTGAGCCCAATTGCTCTGCAGCTGGCTGCCGAAGGAAACCACGTCGAAGTGGTGCACTTGCTCTTGGAGGCAGGGGCCGACGAGAAACTTCTCGCCATGACCATGGCTCTGCGAGCTGCATGTAAGAAGAAGCATGTCGAAGTGGTTCAGATGCTCTTGGAGGGAAGGGCTGATCCAAATGCCCGGGTCGACGGCCGTACTGCTTTCGATGATGCTTCAGATGTTGGCCACACGGAAATCTTGCGCTGGCTTCTGTTCTTCGGGGGCCCAGAGGAAGTGCGTCGAGACCTCTCGGAAGCCCAGCCTCTTCACCAAGCAGCTTCCCGAGGTTGCGTGGAATCTGTGCGCAGGATTTTAGAGGCCAGGTTCGACCCGAATGTCAGGGACAAGACAGGCAAAACACCTCTTCACCATGCGGCGACGCATGGGCACGTGGAAGCGACTGGTGAGTTACTGCGGGCCGGAGCCCTGGCACACATCAAGGACCGAGCGGGCTGCACGGCTCTTCACTGCGCAACTCATCAGGGCCACGAAGAAGTCAAGCTCCTGTTTCCTAGCGCGGCCTCCAAGAGCAAGAAGCCAGGCAAGGAGCCAGGAAAGGCGTAGTAGCGGCTTTCTGCGGAAGCCTGCGCGATGTGTTTGTACAGTTCTTCACAGCGCAGCTGGGCGAGCCCGTGGGAGTGTCATGCGCCATGGCGGAAGCAAAGCCAGCCAGCAAGGACACGGCAGCGGTAGACTGCGCGGCGGGATTTCTGATGCCAGCAAGCTGGCTGCAGCGTAAGGCGTGAGGTAAGTAGACGTCATGATTATCCCGATCAACTTCGTCCGGTTCCTTTTAGCGATGCCTCTCTCACTGGCGCATCATCGTCATTCTAGACGTTCGTCACGATCCCCTTCAACCCATGAACCGCAACAACGTCGATTACGGCGAAGCAACCAGCATTGATCGTGGTCGTGATCATCCTCGGAATCATCATAGTCTTCGTATTCATCATCATGGTCGTCGTCGTCATCATGCAACTCTTCATCATCACGATCGACAGCAACATCATCATCACCATCATCACCATCACCATCATCATCAGCGGCACCACGACCACAAGATTCTATTGTTGTCTTCTTCCTTACCACCATCAGCAGCGCGAATACAGCACAACTACGGTCGCCACCGATATTATGATGTATCATCGTCAGGCACACGCTCACAGCTCATAGCTAGCATCCACAGTACAGTTGCAAGCTACCATCACGAGTCCACTTAACTCCCTAGCTGCCTGTGGTCCATGCCAGGCACTTCATTGCAGTTTACTCTCCGGACAACTCTGAAGCTTGGCGAAATCTGAAGGGATCCAGACAGAGTCGAAACATGATGGTTGAAAGCTCGGAGTCTTGATCCTCGTTGTACCGTCTACCCAGAAGCAAAAGCGGGGGACAGGCTCTTGGAGACGACATGTGAGCATTGCTTTGAGATTTCAGTGGGCAGCAGGTGGGATGCCACGACATGAGTCACATGGGTTCAACCGTTAGACGTCCTTATTGAGCCCCATGCAAACCCCGAAGCCATAAGATGCGTAAGCTACTGCTACCTAAGGCCTACACGCTCACGATCCTCGCAGACATTGGCCGCTTCCCCCGTCCTGGTTCAAACGGACGGCTGACTGCCAGGAGACGCCCTGGGGTCTGGGTTTCGGAGGCTCCCCTCTCTTGGGAGTTTAGGGTTTAGGGTGAAATACGACATCCCGGAAACCTGGAAACTGATGTCCCGTCATTATCTGATGAGGGAACAATTTCCCTCTCTATACTATCAGTTTGTGAATCTAGAGGAGGTGCAAGTAGGGCTGAGGGCCAGGCAGGTTTTGGGTTTATTATTGCTTAGTGCATACAGGCGAGAATGTGCTGTGCAGTTGGCCCAACAGGTAAGGTTTTTCTTAAGCGACCTCCTCAAGCACTGAAGCCGTGCAGAACGAAGCGAAAAAACCGCCAAGAGCAACAACACTTGTGCAATAAGAAGCACTCAAAACATCGATAAAGCACGAAAGAGACTCGACGATATCTCGCCTAAACGACTGCTTCTGAAATTGCTAGGATTTCCAAACCCGCCGATGCAATGTGCAACAGCCAGAAAGCTCCGACAAAGCACTGTAGAGATTGCGCAGGCAGCTGTCGGAGCTCCAGGTGCAGCTGTCCTGGGATGCTGCCGGATTTATCCCTGAAGGCAACTTCCACGGCCCTGACGGGTGAATCGAAGTGCTTGCAAATGATCGTTCTTGGGGTTGTGGGGTGTTGCACGGCCTGCGTAGGTCCTGGGTAGCTACGGGGCTTGATTGTAGCTGTAGACTAGGGACCACAGTCAAGTAAGAACAAAGCTGCTTTTGTACACCACCCAAAAATCGCATCGCCCAGCTTCTGTCGTCTCCGAGATATTCTACTGGACGCGATGGAAACTCAGCTCTCGTTGCTATAGGGATGGCTTTCCGACAAGCCACTGAAGGCTTCGCCACACATGCCTTGAGGGTTTAACGGTTACCGTAAGGGTCTCTACAAGGGTGACTGCAAGAGATGCAGTTCATGCTTGTGACCTGTGCATCCTTGTGGTGCGAGCACAGGCGTGGCACAGGCAAAGCAGTACTGGGTCTACTCCTCTATGCTTCTCGAGTCGGCGGGGCCCCCGGGGCATTGCCAAGGGTTCACCGCTTAACGGCCTGGATCAGGTGCACATGTCATATGACAAATGCTTTCGAGTGTCCCGCTATCTTCATTGAATGCACGTGCAGTAGCTTGAGAAGTTTGCATTTTGCATCGGTACTGGCAGGACAACCGAACCAACATGGCCGTTTTTCTGCGGCCAGATAAGATCATGAACACTGCGGCGGACTCAGAAGGGGGTCTTGCTGTTGCTAGTATCGAGGCCTTGATAATTACCTATACTGTATTCGGAAGCATAGTATGATGGGTCCCCAAACCCTATTCTAATTATTCAGGCGCCTATATTCAGCCTGGAGCAGCCCTTGGGGCCGCTACTGCTCGATCCCCCCAGGTCCAGCCCAGACCCCTCAACAGCGCACAGAGTCACAAGCATGGTACTTGGAGGATCATGGGACTTAGTAAGTAAAGTTATATGTACCTTAATTGGGGTTATCAGTATAGTTACCCTGATTAGAACCCTAGTTACTAAGTCCCATGATCCTTTAAGTAAATTCGTACCGACTCGTACCCGTAGCTGTCAACCTGTACTCCACGAAGTCCACAGGGTCGAAGAGAGGGGGGATTGCGAAGGTCTGTGGCCTGCAAAACAACACGGACCGCCAATACACCATTGTTCGCATCTCAGAGCTTGGCTATCAAAGTGGCTTCGGGGTCTTCAACGTCATGCATCTGCGAGGTACCAGCTGATCAGTGCAGCAATGGCAAGTGCAACGTTACGATCGATGGAGTTCTCACCGACAAGAGGCGAGCATGACTTGCACCTTCGTAGCTGCTGAGAAAGGCACCTCCTTAAAGCTTATCTCCTGAATCACATGCGTGCTACAATGACAACAAGCCCTAAACCGCAAGCCCTGGACAGGTATGTCTTCAACGTCGTAGCCGAATCGACCACGGGAAGTCACCGCATGGCCTATGCTGTTCTCTCAGTGCACTTGTGAAGAAGGCACGGAAGAACTTTGCCTTACAGTCCCGAAAGAGTTATACTGTCGTCTTCAACCCTGGCCCCAACACCCTAGAAAGTGAAACCCTGAAGCCCGAAACCCTGTAATCCTTCAGCCCCTAAACCCCTTAAGCCGCAAACCTGAAGACCCAGACCCTGAGACCTGCAGCCAAAGAGACTAAATCCCTAGACCTTGAAGCCCTAAAGCCAACAAGACCAAAAACATGGACCCTAAACCAGCTTGACCAACACCCTGAACCCTAAACGGTTAGTTCCCCGAAACTCTTCGAACTTCGGCAGACCAGCTGTGTTTTCGAACGTTAGCCATATACTAAATCTGCACACCTAACTTGGAGGCTTGAATAAGTAGTGATAAAGCCCTATACTAGCCCCTCTATACTTTATGGTTCTTGAAGCTCCGCTGCCTCTGAGGTTTCGAGGTAGTAATATGAGCAGTTATTGTGAAAACACCGTTTTCCTGTGTTACTGAGCTTGTATAGTGTTTGCTATCCAACAAGTTCCTTGGGTTTGGTGTATATGTTATGTTGGCTTTGGGGTTATGGGCTTCGGGCTTTGGAAGCGAGCAAATAAACCACCGAGGCCGGTCTCATCATGCGCACAGACTGGGAGGCGGGAGCTCGTAGACGGACACCAAATCACGGGGTTAGGGTGTAGGGAGTTTTGGGCTCAGAATTTAGGGTTTGGGCTTAGTGGAAGTGAACCCTAGGCCCTACACCCGAAATCGCGACGTTTCCTGGCAGATTACTCGAAAGATCCTGCTTTCCGGTCTTACTCACATGCATTCGCCTTGGCCACACAACCTAAAGCTACCGCCTTGAGCACGATGCCCCGAATACAACCCGCCGAAAGACAAGACCGTCCAGAACAAACGCTAATCATGAGTCCGAAACACCACGCCAGAACCCCAAATCCAACCCCCAAGCGAAAAAGTGCAGAAGTTCGGAACATTGCGGACGGGTCAATGAGAGAAATGATTTGACACGCGGTGACTCAGCAAGCGGAGCGGGCCCATACAAACACCCGCACACACACAATCTATACACACACAAATGTGTATATTTATATGTGTATATATATATATATATATGTGTATATATGTGTATATATATATGTACACATATGTATGCATGTGTAGACATGTACATACATACAGAAGCTGAATCGTTGTCGCTCATCGTTTCCACTGCACCGCAACCACATCGTCATACTTCCGCGGGCCCTACGTGTCTCAGAAAACCTTGCCCGGTGTGTAGGCAGGCTTATGCAGACTTGCCATAGCTCTATGACTGAAAAAGCCCATCCAAGATTTTCAATACAGAAGCCCGAGTCAAGACCAAGATCATCCTCAGGGGCTCCTATTTACAATTATACTACAGCATACCCCGAAACCCTACTCAATTATTGATTACTCCACTTTGTTTCGGGGCACAGCGCAGGTCATCCGGCAAGCTGCCTCGGATCGAACTTTAAGGGCCAAAGCCTCGGAGAAGTTTTCATGTTTGGTTCTGGCAGTACGTTGTGTAAGGGCTTTAGGACTGAAGGGCTCGGATGGATGTATCACCTACTGGCTAAGTGTTAAGTGCTGTTGTTATCATGGCTGTTGTCTTCGGTCTGCAATGCGGTGGTGCATTTGGCAGGGTCGCACAATGGGGCCATCCCTCACACCCTGAGGTGGTGGGAGCAGTGTCTGGCAGCGCGGGGACCCCAGCAGCGATTGACAGAGATTGAATTTTCAAAGTAAGAAGAAGTAGGTTGAGACATTAACCCTAAACCCCTCAACCCCTTAACCCTAAACCCCTAAACTCCACTGTTCTCCATGCCACTTGGAGCACATGCCAAGCACTTGTGGCACCGTGGTGGGGTTGGATCAAACTATCGGCCGGGGAAGGTCCTGGGCATGGTGATCATCATCTACTTCCTCATGCTGAAGCTCTACGGCTGAGGTACTTCGGTGTGTTTCACCTTGTGGAGGATGAAGCTTAAAGAAAATGTTCTGTTTCAAAATCTGCCACGCAGTGTTGCTGCTCTGTGGTCTTTGCTTCATGCTGGCAAATTAGCGTTTCACCTCAAAGCTTGCGGTGATGGATGGAGGTGCACGGTAGGATTTGCTAAACGATCATCAGCATTGTGCACCGCTTGCCTTGGCTTGTCTCACATACAACCTCAAAGGTGAGTCTTGTAGCAATGTCTTTGTAAGGATACGCCATACCGGCTTTTCATACAGGGGCGTTAATTTAATGATTGCCTATACACTTTTGGGGGCTCCTTGTTATGATTAAAGTAGAATGGGCTCTAAAACCCTATTCTATTTATTAAGGCCCCTATATTACACGCTTCTAAATATGCAGGCTTCACCTTGAACACACCCTGGCGCACGACTCTTTGCACCACAAAGGGAGTGCTGACCTCAATTCTTAGGTGGGAAACTTCCTGCCACAACATACACAAAGCTTGGCCTCACAGAACATGCCGCAAGAATCAGCTAGTGATGCATGGCTGTTTGGCGCAGATACACCCTCTTCCCTCCAGCGGCATGCAGTAGTGGAACTGACAACCAAAGTCATCAGCACCTCTTTGATTTGATGTGCTCCAGTCTGTGCTGCCAGGAATATGGCATCGTCTGCACGACCAAACAAGACTCGTCTGCATTTGGGTTCACGATGCTGTGTCAGGGAACCCTCGTAGAACCACTTATATAACTCATGTGTATATATATATATATATATATATATATATATATATATATATATATATACATATTAACCCTTGTAGTACCCCGTGTTGAAACCCATAGGAACCCTTAAAGGACTGCTCACAGGAGCCCAAAAGGAACCCTTATACTGTCCAGCAGGTTTTGATTTGGTCGACCCGACACACCGGCAGTTGCCTACCTATTGAAGTGAAGAGGATGAATCTATGCATTTATCATTTTTGTAAATCTGAGATGTGTTTCACGGGTGTCCATCTTTTGGATTGGTTTCGAGACGTGCGTATTTCATGAGTTGATAGTCACACATTCCTCTCAATTGGAGGAGTACTTTGGTGGATAATTTTTCAGTCTGTCGTTCCTGTATGTCGGGGATGAACGCAGGTGGGTTCACTGCAGTATCAATCCGGTATGAAGATGGATGCTCGCTTGCTTGCCTGATCTTCCTTGCTAGCTTGCCTGCTTCCTGTGCATACCCCAAAATGTCATCGAATGAATTTATGCTGATGTTTGCGCCAGAATGTTCAAGCGAAGCACATCAAAGGAGTCATCGTAGCCGAAGCGTTCTATCGGGATGTTGCCGGAGGAGTTGGCCGTGGTGACAAGTTCGGCCTTGGTCGCTTTACAGTTCTTGATTTGGTGTGGCTTGGCGCGCTGCCCCGGGTACTGCCAAGACGGTCACAAATGGAATGCCATTGTGCAAGGCACCACCAAGGTGAAGGCACAAGAGGAGAGTTCGGAAGAGGGAAAGGGAAAGCGGAAAGCGGAAACGCAAATCAACTCAGGAGCTTCCACAAAGGCAACATCCTCTTTTCCGATGCTACCACCGCCCAGCTTCACCCAAGAAGCGCGGACGCCCGAGCAAGGCCAGCCCAGCACAGCTCGAGGGGCAAGAGCCAGTATGTAAAAGTGTGCAATGCCGGCAAGCTGCTTCATGGCGCAAGTTCTTTCCGGTGGCAGACGTGCTACCAGATAGCACTGGGCCCCAGAAGCTTGTGGCACATTTATACTGGTTCAGCCAGTTGACCGGCATTCAAAAGGCTGCGGCCTACACTGGCTGCGACAGGGGGACGGTAGGCAAAATCTACAACATCATCCGGTCCTACTTCGTCGCTTTTCTGCAGAAGCGGAACACGCAGCTCTTGGGCAGCCATCGACACATTTGTTATGTCGATGAATGTTTCCTGGCCAAGCGCAAGCCATCCAAATAACTCCGCGGCCGTACCACGCGCCCCATGCGTATGTTGGCGGTCGGTATCGTGGAACTGGACTGTGATAGTAGGAAAGAAATAGGTCGCGTGGTTCTACGGTTGGTGCGGAACAGGTCGAGCCGGACATTGACGAATTCCTGGCACGATCGTGGCGACAGACGAATGGCGTGGCTATAAGGGCTCACCAAGGTAGGATACACACATGAGAAAATCAATCATAGCAAGAACCAGGAGGTCAATGCCCAAGGTTTGGGAACTAATCCCGTGGAAGGCTTGTTCGGCGATTCTTGCGCTAGAACTACCTGTAGATGCCTTCGCGCTAAAACTATGGGTTGCTGCTTGCAGAGTATTGTTGACGATACAATATCTTGGGGGAGCAGACCTTGCCCCCTAGACAATGGCCGAAAACAGCATTCTGGCGTTTGTTGGCCACTATGAAGGAGTTGGTTCCGCGAGATAACTTGGTGAGGCGAGCTTCCTACAAGTAGGAGGCAGGATATCTAGATTCGTAAGGGCTTGCTATTGCTCAAATATTTGTAGGAGTGTGAGAGCGATTTAAGAGATACTAATACAAATAACGGTCACTGTGCTAGGAATTGGGTTTGGGTACATTCGCTATCGGGTTATGAGATCTATATTGCAGAGTCAGAAACCCACTGCACATTCTGTATAGCACGGATCTTTGCTGGCGGAGGAGCCCTGGGAGGCAAAGAATCCGACCGGATTGATTTCGGGAAATTCATCCCGAAAAATAATCGATGGACCGGGCACGACACCGTAAAGATACTAGAAGACGTTTATTGTACGCTGTATTACTATAATAACGTCGAATGGTCTTTGGCGGAAGAGGACTCGGCCCAACTTGGGTTTGCCCGGATTTTGCCCACGGAGGATCTAGACCCTATTTTCAATGAAACTTGCGTGGATACCGGCGATGGTCTCGATTACTCAGGGGCGAAGCATCTGGCCGATTTTCTCGACTATTACGGGGGGAAGCGTATGGCTAGAGTGGGCTAGCGTAGCCTTTGGATTTGGAATCCGGTAGGGAGAGTGAAAGTGAGAAGTCAAGAAACGGATGGAAGGTGAGACGGCAATTTTCTTGGATCTTGACTTCGAAGATCTCTTCGCCGATTTCTTTAAGTCTTAAAAGTCAGACAAGCGCCATGGATTTCGACGTCTTTCTCATTATCGACGACGGTGTTTGCCTTTACCGCGCCCTTCTCCTCGGCTCCCAGATCCGTTCTGGAGTGCCACGTGGCGGACTTCAGCCTTGGTATTAAGAAATTTCGAGTTGGATAAGGAAGCATACCCTCTTACAACATATAAAAGTGACAGGACCCTATGCCCGCGGTGCAAGAGCTCAGGGAGGATATCTTTGACGCTATGCGCACTTGGATAGATTCCCTCCCCTAAAAGCGGTTCAACCAGATCACGCAATCCTTGGCGTGTGACGCTTATAAAGATTAATTGCACGTGCAAAGGCTTGTGTTGTATTTTCCCATGTTTGCAGCTGACAATAAAAGTGCATGCTCGGTAACTTAAGCAAATGCAGGACGTCCCTGCTTGGGTGGAGACTTATGGGCAATATTTCTCCTGACATGAATATTGGTCCTGGGCTAAGAAATCCGGTGCATACGGGATCTTTGCTAGTATCTCCTCCTTCTACCGCATGTGCGATATTTCCGTAGATATATATACCTAAGAAAGCCGGTCGGAGATATTTGCATTTGGTAAGAAAAGGCTAATACGGATAATATAGCGGTAGGCCCCTATTTGCTTGCTGCGAAAATAAGTTTTTGCGAGCATTCTTGCATTGGAATGGAGTGAGCGAGAGGATAAACAAGTGATAATTACGGATACCACGATCTACGAGATAACTATAATATTATTAAGCTCGGCGAGGTGACCATCAAATACTGTATTATCGATATCAAATCTTCTTCACGTACTAGATAATAGCAGATCGATTTCATTGAATATGGTTACAAGGTGAAGGAAATACTCTTTGGTGGATTAAGTACCACCACTTCCAATACTTGATGATTGATAATTTAAATTCACTTAGAAGAGGAGGCAACCTATTTGTGATTCGTTTCGATATATCTACATATAGTACTAGCTTCTTGCGTATCCTAGCAGCTTTGATTCATATTATAATATTAGTGCTCAAGATTTGCACCCTATAAAGTTCTAGTATAACTCATCTCGTCATACTTTTCGCATGGCCCTACTACCGCTTTGCCTTGCTTGCTATATTAAGATATTGAGTCGGCTGCTCTCTGTTGCGAGATCGAGAAATAAATAGAATCTTCCAATTTTGTTCATTTTTCAATGCTGTCGATGATATCCGCGATTGGACCACGAAGTCATTCGATTTCATAATTAGTATGAGAATGAAGAAGATATGGGATTTTGCAAATATTTTGAGGAATTATACTTGAGAATATTTTAGTTTTGGTGAGTTATGATTAATTTTCTTAATATATTATGAATATTTTGATTAGGGAAGAAGATATGAAATCTGATTTATTTATAAATTTCGTAAAGAAAATTTGATATGTTGGAATATATTCTTGCGGCTTCAAGAGTATAGGAATATGATATAGTATGATATGAAAGGAAAAGATTGATATTGTCCTTGGTTCTAATAATATTTCAATTAATTATGCCGAAATGTAATGGAACTAGCTAGCTTTAGTAGTAGTAGTAATAATACTAATAATAGTAGTAGACGTACTAGTAATATATAGTAGTAGTAGTACTATGACTTCGTAACGTTCAGGATGCACGCAAATTATTTCCTAGAAAATTTCAACGACTTCCTTGCTCTGTGCGAAACCCAAATCATGATATCTCAAATTCCTATTAGATAGAATCCGAGTCATATTTCCCGAAATTCCGATAATTTTATCCTATGAGCACCCCTAATTCGCCTCAAAAATCTTTGCCGTAAGCTCCGAAAAAATCCCTTCCGTACCTCGAAGCGTTAGCACTTGTCTGCATTTCTATATGTCGTCCCTTCCG